CCCCCGGGAAACACAAGCTCTCACAGATAAGGCACCTGTTGCTGTATTATCCTCCCGTTTGTTTACGTTGTGATTAAACCTGCGAGGGCTCCGGTGGGCCGCTCCCCCGGCGGAGCTCGGTTACAGCCCGCCGARTGAAATCTGAAGACTGGGAACTTGAAAGGCAGGGTTATCACATGGGCATCTCAGAGTCCAAGTCCTGCCTGAACCAAGGGGGGGTGGGGGGCTGTGATGAGCAGCAGATACTGGAGCTGAGGTTTTGGCTCTTAGAAACAAACAAAAAAAAAGGTATTTGAGGTTTTAACCGAAATCAGCGTTTTGTACATTTCTCTTCCCCACAAATGTTATAATCTTGAACATAAATTCTCATAAACTCATTTCCTTATCGACATTAAATCCTCTCCGTCTTTTCATTTGGTTTCTGCAGCCATTTACTCTTCTTTCCCAAAATTATAGGTGGTTGTATAATTATTTTAAATGCAGCGCAGGCGCTCATTAAAACGAAAACGTGACGTTAAAAGTTTTTGAGATTCTTTCAAATCCTGCAGATTATCAAATTAAGTCTGGTCTGCGAACGGAGCTGCTGTCCTCTCGGTACATTTAGGATGCATCCCAGAGTGCACCTTTTTGGGCTGCACACAAAACAGCTCTGGTGGGGGTGCTTTTATGTCCACCACAATGTGGCCGAGCTGACACTTTGTCTGTGACGGGCCACCGCAACCGTGCAGCGCTGCTTCCATATTCCCAGGCCTCGGTCTGGCCACAAAAACACAGTGAAGGGAGAGAAAAAAAACAAAAACAAAACAAAAAAACGTGATTGATGCTTTCCTTTGATCTTATTTTCTGCCACCCCAGAACGGATGATTGCAGACTACTTATAGCTGTCTGTCCAATTTGGGAATAATTGTTCCCTCCGTGCATACCTGATGGACGACATATGCCTCATCTGTCATTTCRGGATGGATTTACAACACCCCTGTCAGAAGAGCAAATGTTTTTCTGTCTTCCAGAAGGCAGATGTAATTATTTTTGCTATGTTTGCTTAGGTTTCTCCGTGTAGCTCGGCACAGCAGAAGAGCTAAATATGTGCTCAACATAATGCTATGTATGGTAAAGCAGCAGGACGCAGTGCCAGTTAAAAATGGAAAAACATACAGTACGGCTGCACATCGGTTCTGAACGCAGGCTTGTTAGAGGTTTTGATTTGATGGAAGCTGACAGACACGAGGAACACAGCGTGAAGTTTGTTCCACAACTTCAGAGGCTCTTCCTYTTGGAGCTAAAGCTACCGGCAACATGAGAAATCAATCTGATGCTGCGGAGACTGCTGACTTTATTTTAACATGCAAAAATGTTCTTTTTTTTTTGTCTGTTCCTTAGCACAAAACCCTGAGTTCACGAAGCGGTTCTTCTGAGCAGCTGACTCCTGAAAGTCGGAGGTCCGGTCCGGAGCACCGGTCGTCCCACCAGCCTGCATCGCTGCCCTGGGCKCAGGACGGCACCAAAGACGGCCCTGGGGCCTTCCTTCTGGATCTGCAGAACTTCCCGGACCTCTCCAAAGCTGACATCAATGGACAGAATCCCAACATCCAGGTGGGGTTTGCTGTTTGGATGCATCGTGATGCGGACATTAACTGTTCTCAATTTTAAAAATGTCGAATAACGTTAAGAACGTCTTGAAGCACAGCGGTTATTGCTCTGTTGAACAAGTGGCACGCAGGACGGATTTGGTCCTTTTTAAAATTTATTTTGCTCCAAGAAAAAACTGCCAGAAACCAGCTTGAATATAAAACTTAAAGGGGAGGTATTATCATTATCCAGCAGCAAGTTTTTGTAGCTTTATATCGTTATTGCATCATTCCCTCATCAAAATCATCATGCATGTTTGAGAAATCTATGAATCTCCTGTGGTAGCCACATGGAGCTGCCTAAACCCTTGCTGGTACAAAGCTCCGCCCATTTGTAAAACGCTCCGCCCATTTACCTAAAGCTCCTCCCTATAGCTCAGTCTGCAGCTAAGCTCCCGCCTCACAGAGCACCCCTCCCCGATGCATTGTCGTGAAGATGTGCTGAAGTGGGAGTGTCTGAAACGGTAGGAGGTGAGAGGCAGAGGCCAAACGTGTACACATAAACAGCTGCAGTATGAACAGAGAACAACAAAAGTTACGAATGATTCATGATAAATATTTTACTAACAGACAAACGTTATTTCGTGTTTTAAATTGTATCAATCCACCTTACAAGACACCAACAAAATAGAAAAATTATTTTGTTTCTCTCAAGTCAGAGTTTCTGTGCTCAGGATTTAGTTTGAGTTGTGATACCGTTAGGGTTAGGTGCCTACAGATTCCCTCTCCTGGTGACCGTGCGCGTTGGTGCACCTGCTTTTTTTCACTTTGATGCCACCGCTCGCRTAAGACATGACTGCTCAAGCACGCCGGGAAAGGAAGAGCAGAACAGAAAGACAGGGAACACTCTGGTTCACACCATTACACCCCCCTTTTTCTCCCTCTTCCTCCTCGCGCTCCCCGGCTCTCGGTGAAGCCTAGAAAAAACGCCGCGTCAATCATGATGACGGCTGAAAGGCGGGCGCTAACCRCCGAAGCCTCGCGGTTAACCCCCGAAAGATGGACGGTAGCCTTGTGTGAATGTGTGGCAGGCCCTCGCCCATAAATCCCCCAGTGATGCTGAATAACTGCTCCCAAGTTTAAATCACTCTTCTGTCGAAATCCAAATGGGGGTGGGGGGGGGGGGGGATCATCTCTAAATATGAGCATGAACAAAGTGTATTAACATCTCAAGATGTGGGAAGAGAGAAAAGCAACCAATTGAGTAAGGGCGTGAGGCTGTGGGAGCAGGGTGGGTGGGGGGTTTGGGGGTCTTTGATCCTGGGATTCATCTGGCTTTCATGGTCTGTAGGAGGCTGAGGAGCCCTTTGAACTCTGTGTTTAGGTGGAGAGAGCCCCAGAGGGTGACTGAGGGGCAGGGGTGGTGTTCCCCCCCATCTGGGAGGCACATGTGTCAGGGCAAAAAGGAGGGTGGCGGGTGGGTGGGTGGCGAGGGGTGGGGTATGCAGGGGTAACAAAAAGGGTAACAACACTGCAACCAGTTTTACCTATCTGGTCAGAAAAATACCTTTTTTTAATCAATAAAACTTTTTGGTCACTTAAAAAATAAGATTTACTCAATCTCATGCTAACTGTTAGTCAGAATACGTTTTGGGGATAACTCTCAGCTACAACCACACCAAACTGCAGCTCAATAACTGTAAAACTGACAGAGTTKATGTCATTTCTGTGTGTAAGGTTGATTAAGTTTGTCAGCCATCTTGAATTGMARTGACTTCAGTTGTAGATGTACTCTGGCTCCAACTAAGACACGCCTCCAAAAAGGGGCGGGGCTTGTGGAGTTACAATAAGAAGGAATTCAAGTCAAATCATTGCAGTTCCACTTTATATAGACCCCAAATTGAAAGATTTATATATGAATAAGAAGGATTTACGTTTGTTAGCCATCTTGAATTGCAGCGACTTCAGTTGTAGATGTACGCTGGCTCCAACTAAGACATTCCTCCAAAAAGGGGCGGGGCTTGTRGAGYTACAATAAGAAGGAATTCAAGTCAAAGCATTGSAATTCCACTTTAYATAGACCCCAATTGAAAGATTTATATGTGAAAATGAAGGATTTAACAGCAGGATATGATGTGTCGCCCACCACTGAAAGGCAAAAACAGTTTTTATTTGTCTCATCTTCCCACAGGTGACCATTGAAGTGGTGGATGGTCTGGAGGGCCATCAACCTGAGAATGGGCTCCGTAAAGAACCCAAACCCAGCTGGGCCTCTCCTAACTGGAGAAACTGGTGGCCTCACACGTCTTCATCCTCCTCCCATCAACCAGATGTGCACGATCGCTCCTACGGGAGCAAAACCAAGGACAGCAACTTCCTCAGGCCACCGGCAGACTGGGACAGGAGGGGAAGCAAAACCCAAACTGAATATGGTGAGACTGACAGGAAGGAGTCTGTTTGTGTGTTTGCAGGATAACACACTGGATCCACAGGCTCCTATTTGAGCACTGGTCCCCAGATGGTCRTAGTCTGATGTGGAATCTGTAATTTGCAGATTTACTGATTTAAGCTGTCACCATAATAAGTGCAGTCATCCCAGGCGAGCCTCTGGGAGCCTCCTGATTGAAGCCTTTAACGCTCTTTTACGAGACGGGGGTTCCTCTGGGCTCCAGAGCCAGCTCCGCCGCGGCAGTTTTAAACACCTTCGCTACATCAAAGCTCAGTCCGTGRAGCCGGAAACACCGTCAAGGTTTCCTCACAAGTTAAACAATGCAGTTGGAAGAAGCGGCGCCGCAGATAAATCTGCCGTGAAAGAATTTACGCCCGCCGTCACACGTGGTGTGGCCCGTGTTGAAGCATGCCCAAACCGATGAGGTCCAACAGGAATTTGTGCTGAGTAAAAWAGATTTTTTAGTTTTGTCAAACCCTAACCTGTGTCAAATGTTTCTGGCTCTTTACTGAGGTCAGCTCTCACATCCTTCCTGTATTTTATACCACACTAATGCAGAAGGCCATATTTTATCATCATAACTGTCATCGTTTGGAACTTTATAACCATTACTGTTGACATGCAGTGATGGTCATCTGTCATAAGCCACCAATGAAACCAAAGCTTTTATCATTTCTGTCACAATCATATGACTTGCATTACAAGCAGAAGGACTTAGTTGGCTTGTTTTAATAGAAAATGCCCCAAATGAAGGACAGATGGCAATGGGGAGGTGGTGTTTAGGATGGTTTGGACTCCAGCCAGAAAAACCTCTATCCCAAAATGGCTGCAATAATTCCTCTCAGTGATTGAGTAAGACTCGAGGTGAGCCTTCTTTAACTGATTCTTTGTAAACACACTAGACTCATTTGTTTCATAGTAATTGGAGTTAAGTTCTTGTCATTTCACTTTGTATTTTTCATACTGCTGGGTCACAGGCGTTTTATGCCTTCGTTCAAAGGGATACACAGAAACCTCTAATGGTAAATGTCCAAAGTTACTTGAAGAAATACGCATTATCCATCTTCATGCAGGCCAGCTGTAAACAGAGGTCTCATGTTATCCGTTAGTGCAGTGGTTCCCAACYTTTTTAGACTTGTGTACCCCCTGAGCCATTTTGTCATAACACTAGTGCCCCCTCTGTCAAACAAAATGATGATTCTCCAAAACTATATGTACAACAGCTGATTATTAAATGAAAATTATTTATTTAACGCCCTAGAACGTTTAATTCTCAGACATTTTTTCAACTCAAATTAAACATAAAGATAAATGCGTTGCCTTGAAAGTGAATAAGTAATTATATACAGTAAATAAACTAGGTGCAGAAAACAGCAGTGTCCAAAATACATTGTATTGTCCAAAATACATCAAATACCCCAAATGGGTAAATGCCGTGAGATTCCGCATTTTATACAGGATTCCATTTTGTGTCAATATTGTGATTCCATTTGTATTTTCCACATTGCGGAAATCAAACAAATCTCAGTCCTGGGAAATTTTTCCACGTACTCCCTGTAATATGCTTATGTACCCCTGGTTGGGAATCACTGTGTTAGTGCTGAAAACATTGGGCTTTTTCACAACTCGGCCCAACTCAAGAGTCTTTCCATTGGGTGATCCCGTCTGTTTCCAAGTCAGTTCACAGGTTGTACTCCTCCGRGTCGAGTTGGAGGTATTACGTCAGCAGGTCATTGATTGGCTAGAAAGTGACATCAATCATGAGCGTGTCCTTTATAAGAGTCAAACCCACCATTTTTCTTTAAAACCTCCTAACTACATCTTTGTTTTCATTTATTTTATTGGTTGAACTTGTTGRTTTCAATCTGCTTTATTGGCCAGAGTTAGTGTCAGCTCCACAATCTAGCTTGCCTACATGTCCTTAGTTGGTAAAAGATGCCGAGTCAGTTCGTGTCAGCATTAACAACCTGTCTTCCCTTCTTTCCGATCCAAGACTACATGGACGGAGAGGGAGACTGGAGTACCTGGTCGACCTGCAGCGTCACCTGTGGGAACGGCAACCAGAAAAGAACGCGGTCATGTGGCTACGCCTGCACGGCCACCGAGTCCCGAACGTGTGACATGCCCAACTGTCCAGGTAGCGTTTGGTTTTTAATGTAGACATTCAATGATATCAGTACTCTTGGTTGTAAAAAATACACAAAGTTTCTGTATTTGTATTTATATTTAGGTATTGAAGATGCCTTCAAGACCGCAGCCACCGAAGTGAGCCTGTTAGCTGGAAAAAATGAGTTTAATGCCACAGAGCTCTTTGGTGTTGGTAAGAATTTCTTTCTGATTTAGCATTCACACAATATTTTTTTTATTTTGCAATCTAATTACTTCTGTATACTTTATGCTATTTAGGCAGCTCTAAATCATAATGTTCAACTCATTTCATAAATGGGTGCTACATTTCTTTTGTAATTTTAATAATATTTAACTTTATTTACAATATTTCCCACATTGAAGTACGTTTTCTACAAAAACGCTGTTTTTCTTAAAATCTGCTTTTCTGTACTGGCTTTAATTTAGTGTTTTTCTGCTACTTTTACTTTTTAGTTACCGCTCTTAGCTTTTAGCTAGAGTTTTGCTACTTTTAGCTTTTATTAGTAATTTACTACTTTTAGCCTCTAGCTAGCTTTTTGATACTATTCTGTAGCCTTTTGTGTTTTTCAGCCTTTTCATTTTTCAGTTTTTTGCTAGAGTTTTCTATATTTAGCTCATAGCCCACATTTAGTTAGTTTTAGATTTATAAGTATTTCGCTACTTTAAGCCTCTAGCAAGCTTTTTAATGTTATTCAATAGCCTTTTGTTTTTTTCAGCTTTTTTAATTTGCAATGTTTTGTTAGCATTTTCCGTCATTTAGCTTTTAGCCCACGTTTTGTAAGTTTTGGGTTTTTTTTGTTAGCATTTTCCTTCATTTAGCTTTTAGCCCACATTCTGTAAGTTTTAGCTTTTTGTTAGCATTTTCCTTCATTTAGGTTTTAGCCCACATTTCGKATGTTTTAGCTTTTTGTTAGCATTTTCCTTCATTTAGCTTTTAGCCCATGTTTTTCTGCTTGAGTTTACTATTCTACCTGACATGTTTGGTTTTGAATTTTAAACAAGAACGAACTGAAAAAGGAACGTTTTGTTTTTTAAGACACAGACAGCTGCGAGCGGTGGATGAACTGCAAAAGTGACTTTCTGAAGAAGTACATGACTAAAGTGGCAAACGACCTTCCCAGCTGCCCTTGCTCTTACCCCACCGAGGTGGCGTACAGCACCGCGGACGTACACGACGYCCCCACGCGCCGAGACTTCCGCTGGAAAGACGCCAGCGGGCCCAAAGAGAAGCTGGAGATCTACAAGCCCACGGCCCGCTACTGCATCCGCTCCATGCTGACCTTCGAGTCCACCACGCTGGCGGCGCAGCACTGTTGCTACGACGACAGCATGAAGCTCATCACTCGGGGCAAAGGGGCCGGCACGCCCAACCTCATCAGCACAGAGTTCTCCGCTGACCTGCACTATAAGGTGGACATCCTGCCCTGGATCGTCTGCAAAGGAGACTGGAGCCGCTACAACCATGCCAGGCCGCCAAACAATGGGCAGAAATGTCCGGACAGTCCCCAGGATGAGGACTACTACAAACAGTTTGAAGAAGCAAGGGAGTTCTAGTCCGCTGTGAGGTGAAAAGACAAAAAAATAATAATAATTCAAATTAAACGGCCTGAATCAGCCAGAGACCCTTGCATGTTCATGTAAATGTAACTCAGTCTCAAAGGGATGAACGTGTTCTTAAAAAGAGGCTTGTTTTTGTAGAAACGCCTGTTTAGTTTGTCTCAGTAGATTCTGTGGTTTTAGATTAATGAGGTCCTCCAGGAATGAGTTGGAGGGCCGTGGGGGGGGGGGGGGGATCCAGAGAACAGGGGCATCTGGGTTCTTTTGTAATTTTATTAATCGCAATATTCAAGTTTTTACCTAAACTTGTGGGTACATTTATTTAGCATGACACTTTTACAATTTTCATCAATTTACAACAGTAATTTAACTGTCCTCGAGGGGGTTTTCATTGTAAAAAGCCTGCATTATTTTTGTAAAGTATTTATTAAGTTGTAGTTGCGTTCAGGTTTGGCGTCTATGACTGAGGTTTTTAGTCACATAAGGATGAATGTTGCCTTGAGATTCCTCTCTAGTTTCTTTTTTGTTGTTGCCATCCTTGTGCAAATCTGTCTCAAGTTACTGGATCTAAATAGTGTGTAAAGAATGTGTGAATTCAACTTTAAGGACAGATTTGTTTAAGATATAATTCTATAAATAATTTTTTTTAAAGTGGAATAAATGAATTTTCATGATGTCACAAAAAGTATCTTAAAAAAAGCAATGAATTGATGATTGAATAAACCCCATTAAACATATCAAATGGTGAAAATATTAAAATTAGAAAAAAAGAGTTTTTGATTTTATTTTTTTGGCAGAAACACATCTTAAAATAGTTGGAACAAGGGAAACAAACAACTGTAAAAGTAAATGGTAGGAATAGGAAACAGCTGGAAAAGCAATTTGTAACAAATTACGTTAACTGCAAAAAAGACTAGAAAAAGTTTTTGTCCCTCAAATAAATAAATAAGATTTAAAGACTTTGAAGGTCCTTGTCTAATTGCTACTTCTGAGCACCGCTAACAATGAGCTCTACCTGGTATTTCTTGCATTGAAACAGAAAAATACTACGTTTAAGTCTGACTAAATGTAAATAAATACTATAGAAATACAATTAAAAGTAAAAATAAGAGTTTTACTCACTGTTGAGATGTGGTCAATCATGAATTCGGAACAATCTTACAGGGAATTCCCACCGAAGGGGGCGTTCCTGTTTAAATTTACGACTTATAAATGGGATATTCCAGCTTCCCACGAATACAGCGAAAGTTGCCGGTGGAAAAAAAACTGTAAAATGAAGCTTTTACACTGTGAAGTTCCAGACTACTTTTAAAACCCTGTGCAGCTCCACCTAGTGGTGGGATGCCATCATTTTGCAGGTAAAATAACCGACATGCCTTATGGTGAAAGCTGGATTTAAAGCAGCTTATTTTGAGACATTAATACAGGGTTATTCAAATAAAATGCGATTATATATTTCCAACAACTTACATTCACTTTTTAAATGTGTTTCTTTTGTTGCATAGAATCATAAATTTAAATTGGGGGTGAAGCTCTTGCGGGCCGGACGGAAGTCACCCGTGGGTTGCAATTGGCCTGTGGGCCTTGTGTTTGACACATGGGATCTACAGTTTATATTGTCATTAAAAGATTCAATAATCTATAGAGTCGATATTGGATGGTGGTGATCTKCAGGTCCTCAGGAGCTTCTGCCTTAAAAACAGGTCTGGTTCCATTCTGGACGTTACTGCAATTGCAAAAGCTCCATCATGCAAAAAAGAAGCCGCATCCAGAAACGCTGCGGTCTTCTCTAAACCAAGGGTCATTAAAGATGAAGTGAGACGAAGCAGAAAGATGTTCTGTGCTGCTGGTTTTGCAGGTCGTTGCATTCTGCAGCCTTCAGATTCAAGGTTGCTCAGTGTGAGATTTAGCAACATTTTTTAAAAGTTCATCAGCTGAAGGATTGCTCTCCTGTCATCGAAGAAACAAAAAAAAAGTCTCATCTAATCAATTACACTCCTATCAAAGTTAAGCTCGTGCACAAGACTTCCATTAGTTCCATCCAGTGTGGCTGTCAGGCCAGGCCTTTTGATGGGGTTGTGATATTTCTTCAGAGGGCGAGGAGAGTAAGGTTCCTTTGAATGCGACTCAAATTCTTTCTTTGGCATGCATCCACACATTCCTGAGTAATTTCTCAGCGTACACACGCTCACACACACACACACACACACACACACACACACACACACACACAC